ATGAATGAGAAGTGAAGCATATATTAGTCAGTTGAATAAATCAAGACAAACTGCAATATCAAGTCCACTGGAAGAGATTTGATGAGAACTCATCTTGGTACCTAGCTCATGACTTCAAAGAATCATCACACATCATACACAACTTCCATGAAGCTAATTCTACAAAAGCCAGACCTTCAAGATGACTAAATGAGTGGCTGAAGGCATGGGAGACAGACAGCTACCTGAAGAATGAGGTTGATGATGACTTACCAGCATGAGGACATGCCTGTCCCTAGACTGGGGGGTGATGTTAGGCCCAGTGCCCAACTGAGCCCGACTGAGGCCCAGTGCCCAGTTAGACTCGACGTCAGATTAAGCTCAGCGCCTGATTAGGTCAAATATTCTCATATGATCAAATGACCATGTAGGTGGTTATAACCCAGGCAGGCCCCAGCACCTCTTTCACCCCATCAAGCTTAGTATTTTGTTATATAGCAGTTAGCAATGCAGAGAGTTTCCTTCTTATGCAGCTTACATTCACTCCTTAACAACTACTCTGAGTTGCAAATATATAAAGAAGACTTTCATTATAAATCTAAGAGAACACCTCACATGAACAATCAAGAAATCATTGAGTAGGAATAAACTTAATGAGAGGGCTGACAGAGACTAAGCAATGAAACAGCAGAATGTGTTTCCGGAGAGGGTACAGATCACATGACTGATAGATTGATATGACTGATAGATTCATCTATCAAACCTATCAGTAGATTAGTATGATCAGTATATCAGATCTACCAGATCTACCAGAGGATTTCACCATGTATATAAATACACTCATTACTCTTAGGATCAAGGAAGCTTATCTTCTTAATCATGATTAATTTCATTACACTTTGAGAACACTCTATCTTTCAATTATTCTATTCAGTTATAATCATAGTTTTGATTCTCTTGAGATACCCTTCTACTGTATCTACATCTCTTACAGATCATTAGAGTCTTAGACACCTGCCTTAGCTATTATTGATAATAGAGATCAATATTTCTATTATTCAATTCTAGTGGCAGCTAATCTTTCTGCAGTGATTAAGCATGATAAGGCACTTAGTTGATCTGATATTAATCAACTCAGATGAATGCTTGCTGTAATGTAGTCAAGTCTGGTTAAAGCTGTTTTAAAATAAGCAACATCTACTACTCTTAAATATGTACAAGGATTTTTAGACTTTGTCAATTTCTATGAATGATTTATCAGAGATTTCTCAAAGATTGTGATCTCACTGACAATTCTTACATGTAAGAATATTTCTTTTTTGTAAATGAGCAAGGCTGAGGAAGCTTTTAAGTGTCTAAAATCAATGTTTATCTCTGCTTCAATTCTGCTTCAATTTGACTTTGACTCTGAGACTATATTGAAAATAGACTTCTCAGATTACATCTCAGAAGAAGTGCTACTACAATATGATAAGCAGAGCATTTTACACTTATGTGCATTCTTCTCTTGCAAGCATTCACCTGTAGAATGCAACTATGAGATTCATGATAAGAAGTTATTAGTGGTAATTGAGTGTTTAAAAAAATAGAACACTGAGCTATAAAGTATAAAGAAATTCAAGATTCTTATAAATCATAAGAATCTAGAATACTTTATGACTACATGTAGACTAAATGAAAGACAGCTATGTTGAATGGATATTCTCTATTAATTTAACTTCAGAATTGATTACTGATCAGAGAAGTTGAATACTGAATTAGACACTCTATCATGAAAAGAGCAGAATATATCACAGAGTGCTGATGATGAGAGGATCAAGCAGAGACAAGCTTAATTACTTAAGTTTAATGTACTGGCATCTGGAATGGAATCAATAGTGACTGCTGCCAGTGTGGAACTCAAGATGTCTCTTCAAGCTCAGTGAAATGAGGCTCACAAAAATGACAATATCCTGCAGTGTCTGGAGCAAACTCTTCATGAGAGAAGATTCAGATTTTCTTCTGAACTCAGCATTAAGGCCTCTATCTCTGAGTGCTCTTTAAATGAGAATAAGAAGCTTCTCTTTGAAGATTGTAAGTGAGTGTCAGACTTCAAACCTCTTCAAATCAGATTAGTACATGAGGCTCATGACTTACCTCTTACCAGCTATTTCAGATGAGAGCAAATAGCAGAAGTTCTAAGACATGAGTTCTACTGATCAGAATATATCATCAATGTGAGAAGAATGATCATGAACTGTCATTTTTGCAGATCAAACATCACATGAAGAGATTAACATCAGGAACTGCTTAAGCCTCTTCTCATTTCTGAACATATATGGTAGAAGCTTTCTATGGACTTTATTGTAGACTTACTGAGCTCTAAAGAATATATGAACATCATGATTATAATGAACAGACTGATCAAGAGAGTTATATTAAAAGCAGTTAAGAAAACTGATGCAGAGACAGTGACTAAAGTGTTTCTTCATGATATCATTTCTTGATATGACATCTCTAAGGCAGTAGTGTCAGATTGAGAGTTAGCTTTCACAAGCATGTTTTGAACTCAGATGTGTGAGAAATTAGACATTAAGAGATGACTCTTCACAGTCTATTACTCAGAGACTGATAAAGCTACAGAGTGAATAAATCAAACTCTGGAAATCTACCTACATAAGTACATTAGCTTTCAACAGAATGACTGGTGTGAATGACTCCCTCTAGCAGAGCTGGTCATCAATAATAGAGATGCTGTTTCAATGAATGTGAGCTCATTCTTTTTAACACATCTTTTTCACATCTTCTTCATTGATATAGCTAATGCACTCTCTGTTGAAACATTATATAATCTCATTAGATTTGCAAATGATCATATGAGGAAGGCTTATGAAGTGTTGAAGTAGACTCAAGTAAAAATGATAGATGCTCAGCAATCTCAAGAGAAATACACAAATAGACAAAGAGACCCAGCTTCAAACTTTCAACCCAGAGATAAGGTCTGGTTGAGCTTAGAAAACATGAGAACTAATCTTCTGTGCAAGAAGCTGGACATGAAATACAATCAATATACTGTGCTAGAAAAGATAAAATTTTATACTTATCAACTGAATGTCTTACTCAGCATTCATAATGTCTTTAACATAAAGCTTCTACATGCTGTGTTGATAGATCCCCTGCTCAATCAGAGGCAAATCAACTGGCAGTCATCTGCTATAGAGACCCTGGAAAGATCTGAGTTTTAGATTGAGGAAATTTGAGGTGAATAAATCCACTAGAGAAAAAAGTAATATCTCATTAAATAAGTAGGTTGAGCTAAGTCTATGTAGAATGACATGAGTCTCCTACAAGAAGCAAAGGCTTTGAATACTTGAGAGGCCTCTCAATAGATAAAATTAGATGTAAAGAGAGCTTTAAATACTCATAAAAGCCTGCAACAAAGAGAGAGAAGAGAGGTATTATAAGAGATTGAACCTCTAGATTCACTCTGACTGGCTGACTCAGCCTAGTCATCATTTGCATATATGCACATGATCATGCTATGTGAGCTTGCTTAAGCTCAAGTTCTCATCTCATTCTTTTCTTTCCTTTCTCCAGCAATTTGTTCTTGTTATATAGGAGGACTAGCCTCTAGTTCTTAGAGCTTAACTCTTTACAAACAGCTTGATTGTAGTGAAAAGAAGTCTTCTTCATATATTTGCAACTCAATGTAGTCAGAGATCTTTGAATCTAGCTTAAGCTGTATAAATTGCAGATTAAATGAGACAATGTCATAATCTGTGAAATTAGTCTGAATAGTAGAAGATTGAAAAGTCTTTTTGCAGACATCAACTAGGTTCTGTGAAAATTGATGTTTTTCATACTGCTCATATTTGTATTACACAGCTTGATTAACTGTCTTTGAATGATAGTGCTTATACTGATGAAAAAACATACTATCTAGAAATTGCAATATATGAGTTGAATATGATGTGAAGAAAATTCATATAGAATAATCTTGTGAAGATCATAGTATTGTAGAAATTATTCAGTAAGATAAGATTTATGATTATCAAGAAGCAGCAATTGATGACTGTCTTGCTGACATTTTTTAAAGATCTCATTAAAGTGCTGAATTCATGCAAAGTCAATCTTATTATTGATATAGTCAGTATCTAATGTTGTGATTGTATATTCATCTGATAGATTGCTTTGTGTATATCAATTTTCAAAATGAGTTTTGAATTTCATGATGATGAAGAAATTCAATATCTCATCATCTGCTAAAACACACTCAATCACAGTGATCAATTCTCAAGAATATGATAAAGTTATAACTGAATTAAAGTCTTTAAAAAGAGTAATAATCTATTTTCCACATTCTTGACCCTCTTGAAAGTCAATCTTATTGAAGTTGTAAATATTACAGATTTGAAATGCATACTGTTGAAGTAAGATTTTTAAACAGTCACATCACATCTTGATATAGTTAATATCTCAACAGCAATTCTTTTCAGATTCATTATCTTCTGCTTAACTCTTTTATATTCATTCAAGCTTTGTATATATCAATAGATTTATATCTTGCTGATCATGAGTGAGGAGGTTGAAGAATTAGTATGATGACATTTAAGAATGAGATTCATGTTATCTTAAATCTGCTCTGCAGTTAGTAAGTAATTATTTCTATTCATATGAGCTATTTACTCTTTTATCACATTCTTCTAACTCTTGCTAAGCTTCTTGTTCAGTGTAGTCTTTGCATTGCATGTTTTTCTTTCATTGATTTTCACTTAAAGACATTGATAAGAAATGTTGAATTTGCACATTAGAGATAGGATTTTCTGTTTTCAATTGTCATTATAGACTTCAATGACACTCTGAATACATTTTTCAAGATCATCTATCTTATTGATCATGGTGGTGGTGATATATTAATATTTGAAGATTGATTAATAAAGAAGTTGATATTTTTATCATTACACTGTTTTTATCATTACACTGTGGTGCACCCACATCAGGTGTGGGTGCGCAGGGCACGATTATTACCAAAATTACTTTGATTATTCAAGAACATCTGGCTCTCTCTGCCTTCTAATCTCGATGCAGCGTGGAATGCCAGAACATCTCGCCGAAATTTCACCTGCCTGGGTTCTGCTTGTGGACCTGCTATCTCCTCGGACGTTAGACTTTGAATACATCACTGCCGCGTACACCCTCTCCAGCAACGCAATTACATGCTGCTGATCATCCTTATTGTTGTTGTAGTTGCATTCTCGTCCAAAATCTAAAACGTGATGAAGCCTTGCGGCGAGCTCGTCTCCTCCAAGGTCCGGCTCAACCGCATTCTGCTGCTGGGTGAGGATCCGCAATTCTTCCAAAAAGGGACGACATTACTGGTCTCCGGCAAGTATTTCGTCAAGAAAGTCCCTTTCCCTCAAAAGCTTTGTTCTCAAGCAGAACAGGCATACGCTTCCTGGTAGTATTTGAGATAATCTAACTTCATGCGGCATTCCTGGAGTTTGAACTTGAGGATGCCGGAGGCAGAGGAGATCGTCGTTGGAAGTTGAGGCATCATCGAAGGGCAGAAGACTAACAGGGTCCTTTGTTCTCGAGGGGTGGGGTTGTTGGGGAAAGCAATGATGCGTATCTTTCTGGTATTATGGGGCAGTTAAAGAAGCTGGACGCGGGATTCCTCTTTGGGATGATAAGGCCTCTGCTAAGGCGATTGAAGTGGTCATGCTAATACGATTTCTGGCAAACGTACTTGCATATGTACACCAGGGAGAGATGTTGCCTGAGAGAAAACAGGTGAGTCTCTGACCTTTGAAATGTCGGCCACGATTTTCCAGCAGAAAGATGGTATTTTCAGGAGACAATAGAAATCGTATCCAAGTGACATGCTAAAAAAAGATAGCCATTGTTGATCGCCCTTAGCTAGAGTGTGACCGAGCCTTTTCAAATCCCGGTAGATTTAGTGTCGCATACAACCTTGGTAGTTGCGAAATGGCTCAGTTCCTCTACACTAGTCGTGGATTCGTCGGTCCCTTTGCAAATAACAGAATTTCTCACTAATAGTGAACTGGACGAACTTATATCCACTGATCAAAAAGGAAACAGGGGAGCAATAGCGATATTTCCTTGATGGATGAGAAGATATAATGGAAGACAACACTTCTATTATTTTAATCCATAGAGAGATGAGAACACATAGGAAATTGTTCGATATAACTATCAAAATTATATCGAGACGCAGTAGATGAGGGTACTAATGCAAATTGATACAGCCTGGGTAACATCCAGATACAAGCGGATACAGAGATGTGTTTGAAATGATAAAAACCAATACAATAAACCGAGTATAGGGAGAGGTAGTGGCAAGGGAAAAACAAAGGTAGGGGAAAACAAAGGTAGAATACAGTGCAAACGTTGAATGACGATAAAACGGAAGCGCTAGCATCAAAATATTTAATGGAGTTGTGGAAACCTTACTTAGCTTTTCGCCAGCACAGGAATTGGAGGTGGCACTATAACCCTCCTGCCCAACTTCTCCAGCTCCCCGACGATACCCTTGCCAGACAAAGTCCACTTCTCACTAACAAACTCTTCTGTGACTTTTTCTCTTAAAATACCGCTGAGCGCAAAGTACTCCAGTAATACCTTTGAATCTTTTTTGCTCAAGCCGACGAGCATTTGAGTAGTCAGATCCTTAGCATCGTTAAACAGCGCAAGGACTCGTGGATCAGGGCGACGGTATGGGTCAGCAGCTGGGAACTTGGGTGAGTCAGTGGAAAAACCAGCAGTCCGGGCTGCGAGTTGTTTAAGCAAAACTTCGAACGTGTAAATGGTTGGTGTATTGGAGGCAGATGTGGAGTAGAGGAGGAGCCCTCCGTTGGGCAGAGCTGAAGAAGGTCGATTTGACGACAATAATGAAAGGAAATGATTGACCAATGCAAGATCATGAGCATGAATAACCTCATATTCGGCGTTTCGGTATTTAGAGTTCATCATCCAATGTGAAAGACCATCGACTGTGACCAACATTGGTGGGCGTGGAGTGAAAGGCTTCTGTTTCTCAGCATCGGTTGTCGCTTTCGTTGCTGTCAACTCGGACCAGAGAGCCTGAAATATCGACCAGGCATACGCAGTATCATCAATACCTATGTTGGCTAAATGCGACAAAGACATCTCAGGACGAATTGGCGCCTTCAAATGGGGGTGTTTCTGTGATATATGAAGTTTGGAAAGTACAGGTGCATTGGCTGTAACAATGCGCTGAAGCAACTTAGCAACTACATCGTTTTGCACATATTGCACTGGCTCTGTATTGGTCGGGGAGTAGGCAGAATGTCCAATTGTGAGGTCCTGAGCTGTTAAAAAAGAAAAAGCACGCAAACGTAAGTGACATTATAAATCAATAAGCCATGAAATAAGAATTCACCACTTTACCTTCAGGAACGGTGACGACAACCCAGTCTTTCAAAAGGGCCATTGTCATTGCTTGTGTTAAGTGAATGCTTTTACCAACTCCCTTCTCACCCGTGATAATTCTCTTCACAGTTTTACCTTTCATCTCGCCCTCGCTCTCTCCAATATCATTAATCAATTTACCCAACTCAACTGTTTCACTCCTAACCAGAGTCCCTGGCCTCCTAAACAAGTTCCAGCCCTGGGTGGTTTTGAAAGAGCGAGCTCCTCTCAACCTATCTACCAACGACATTGGCAAACCAACGATGTGGCCGCGCATTTCAGCATTCCCCATATTTTCCACGGACATATCCTGCATATCTGGGACCTCAAGGGCATTGGTATTACTGAGAACAATGCGTTCCCTCAAGGCCCTCCGTTCGCCAGGGAGAGGAGTGCGAGGCTTCTCACGCTTCACCTTCTTTTTAATACGAGCCGACCGAGACTCGCGAAATTTGGGACCTGTATCCATGCGGTTCGACTTCTTTTTGACAGGCAATGCAAAGAGTGGAGCCGTGGTGTGGAAAAAAGCAATTCGGGGAACGAAAGGCGGGTGAAGCAGACAGGGAGCTGGACGGAGCTTTGAAAAGCAACCCCAACAGACAACGGAAGAGGCCATTGTGGTGGGGAGCAACTGTGCCGTGGCCAATTATTTGCCAGAATGAATGTTGAGGAAATGACAATGTACTGTGATCGTTGTCAAGTTGGTCGAAAATGAGGCCTCTGCGAGAGACAGATATGAACTGCTTAGTCATACAACGTGACTTTAACCACCAAATGAGCCATACCACTAAATGAGCTAGCTGCTCTTAGCAAAACTAACTCAACTTGCTAGAATTCAATTAATTCCACAACAGCAAAATAAATATTAATTAGATTATTAAATAGTAATAAGAGTATTCTCTAGTTCCATACAAAATAGATGATTTAGTAAAATAGACGTGTGCTTGACTGAAGAACACATATATGATAAAAGACTTAGTATGAAGTTATTATAACTCAACTATAGATATGATAATAACAATATAAAAGTTCAATTCATATATCTAACTAGGTATCTGCAATGAGAATACTAAACTGGAAATTAAAATGTGGAATGAATGAGCAGTCAAATATATATAGATGATTGAGAATTGAAGTAAATTAATCTAAAAATTAAGTATAATTAATATTAAAATAGATCAATCTTATTTTATATTATTAATAATTAATCATGCCCTGCGCACTCACATCTAATATGAGTATGTCACAGTGTAACATAAAAACAGTATAATGATAAAAATACCAACTTCTTTATTAATTAATCTTCAAATATTAATTTATCACTATCATCATAATCAATAAGATAAATGATATTGAAAAATATATTCAGAGTATCATTGTGTAAAGGGTTAAGCTCTAAGAACTAGAGACTAATCCTTCTATATAACAAGAATGAATTGCTTGAGAAAGAGAAGAAAAGAATGAGACAAAAACTCAAGCTTAAGCAAACTCACATAGCATGATCACATGCGCATATGTAAATGATGACTAGGCTGAGTCAGCCAGCCAGAGTGAATCTAGAGGTTCAATCTCTTATAATACCTCTCTTCTCCCTCTTTGTTGCAGGTCTTTACAACTATTTAAAGCTCTCTTTACATCTAATTTTATCTGCTAAGAGGCCTCTCAAGCATTCAAGACCTTCACTTCTTGTAGAAGACTTGCATCATTTCATGTAGGCTCAGCCCAACCTACTCATTTAATGAGGTATTGCTTTTTCCTCTGATAGATTCATTCATCTCAAATTTTCTCAATTTCAAACTCAGATCCTTCTGAGGTCTCTATAGTGAGTGGCTGCCAGTCAGTTTGCCTCTGACTAGGCAGGAAATCTGTCATCACAGCATGTAGAAGCTTTACATTAAAGACATTGTGAATGCTGAGTGAGATGTTCAGTCAGTAAGTATGAAATTCTATCTTTTCTAGCACAGTATATTGATTATATTTCATATCCAGCTTCTTGCACAGATGATTAGTTCTCATGTTCTCTAAGCTCAACCAGATCTTATTGTCAGATTGAAAGCTTGAAGCTGAATTTCTTCATCTATTCACATATTTCTCTTGAGATTGCTGAGCATTCATCATTTTTACTTGAGCTTACTTCAACACTTCACAGACCTTTCTCATGTAATCATCTGCAAACTCAATGAGATTATGTGGTGTTTTAACAGAGGGTGCATCAGCTATATCAATAAAGAAGATGTGGAAAAGATGTGTTAAAAAGAACAGACTCACATTCATTGAGACAGCATCTGTATTATTGATGGCCAGCTCTGCTAGAGGGAGCCATTCACACCAGTCATTCTGTTGAAAGCTAATGTACTTGTGTAGGTAGATTTCCAGAGTCTGAATCATTCACTCTGTAGCTTCATCAGTCTCTGAATGATAGACTGTGAAGAGTCATCTCTTAATGTCTAATTTCTCACACATTCAAGTTCAAAACATGCTTGTGAAAGCTGATCTTTGATCTGACACTACTGTCTTAGAGATGTCATGTTGAGAGATGATGTTGCAAAGAAACACTCTAGCCACTGTCTCTGCATCAGTTTTCTTAACTGCTTTTAATATAACTCTTTTGATCAGTCTGTTCATTATAATCATGATGTTCATATATTCTTTAGAGCTTGATAAGTTCATGATAAAGTCTATGGAAAGCTCCTGCCACATGTGTTCAGAAATGAGGAGAGGCTTAAGCAGTCTTTGATGTTGATCTCTTTATATGATGTTTGATCTGCAAAGATGGTAGTTTCTGATCATTCTTCTCATATCAGCAGCATAGCCTGGCCAGTAGAACTTATGTCTTAGAACTTCTGCCATTTGCTCTCACCTAGAATAGTCAGTAAGAGATGAGTCATGAGCCTCATGCACTAATCTGGTTTGAAGAGGTTCAAAGTCTAGCACTCACTTATGATCTCAAAAGAGAAGCTCTCTGTTCTCATTTAAAGAGCACTCAGAGACAGAGGCCTTAATGCTAAGTTCAAAAGAAAATCTGAATCTTCTCTCATGAAAAGTTTGCTTCAGATGCTGCAGGATCTTATCATTTTTATGAGCCTCATTTCACTGAGCTTGAAGAGACATCTCAGGTTCCATGCTGGCAGTGGCCACTGTAAAGGGTTAAGCTCTAAGAACTAGAGGCTAGTCCTCCTATATAACAAGGACGAATTGCTTGAGAAAGGGAAGAAAAGAATGAGATGAGAACTTGAGCTTAAGCAAGCTCACATAGCATGATCATATGCATATATGCAAATGATGACTAGGCTGAGTCAGCCAGTCACAGTGAATCTATGAGTTCAACTCCTTATAATACCCCTCTTCTCCCTCTTTGTTGCAGGCCTTTACAACTATTTAAAGCCCTCTTTACATCTAATTTTGCCTGCTGAGAGGCCTCTCAAGCATTCAAGGCCTTCACTTCTTGTAGAAGACTTGTGTCATTCCATGTAGGCTCAGCCCAACCTACCCATTTAATAAGGTATTGCTTTTTCCTCTGGTAGGTTCATTCACTCTGAATTTCCTCAATCTCAAACTCAGATCCTTCCAGGGTCTCTATAGCAGATGGCTGCCAGTCAGTTTGCCTCTGACTAGGCAGGGAATCTGTCACCACAGCATGTAGAAGCTTTACATTAAAGACATTGTGAATGCTGGGTGGAATGTTCAGTCAGTAAGCATGAAATTCTATCTTTTCTAACACAGTATATTGATTGTATTTCACATCCAGCTTCTTGCACAGATGATTAGTTCTCATGTTCTCTAAGCTCAATCAGACCTTATCTCCAGGTTGAAAGCTTGAAGCTGGGTCTCTTCATCTATTCACATATTTCTCTTGAGATTGCTGAGCATCTGTCATTTTTACTTGAGCCCACTTCAACACTTCACAGGCCTTCCTCATGTAATCATCTGCAAACTCAATGGGATTACATGGCATTTCAATGGGGGGTGCATCAGCTATATCAATGGAGGAGATGTGGAAAAGATGTGTTAAAAAGAACAGACTCACACCTGTTGAGACAGCATCTCTATTATTGATGACCAGCTCTGCTAGAGGGAGTCATTCACACCAGTCATTCTGTTGAAAGCTAATGTACTTGCATAGATAGATTTCCAGGGTCTGGTTCATTTGCTCTGTAGCTCTGTCAGTCTCTGAGTGATAGACTGTGGAGAGTTGTCTCTTAATGCCTAATTTCTCACACACTCAAGTCCAAAACATGCTTGTGAAAGCTGACCCTTGATCTGACACTACCACCTTAGAGATGCCATGTTGAGAGATGATGTTGTGAAGAATCACTCTAGTCACTGTCTCCACATCAGTTTTCTTAACTGCTTTTAATATAACTCTCTTGGTCAGTCTGTCTGTTATAACCATGATGTTCATGTATTCTTTAGAGCTCAGTAAGTTCATGATAAAGTCCATGGAAAGCTCCTGCCACATGTGTTCAGGAATGAGGAGAGGCTTAAGCAGTCTCTGATGTCAATCTCTTCATGCAGTGTTTGATCTGCAAAGATGGCAGTCCCTGGTCATTCTTCTCACATCAGTGGCATAGCCTGGCCAGTAGAACTCATGTCTTAGAACTCCTGCTATTTGCTCTCACCTGGGATGGCTGGTAAGAGGTGAGTCATGAGCCTCATGCACTAACCTGGTTTGAAGAGGTTTGAAGTCTGGCACCCACTTATGATCTCAAAAGAGAAGCTCCCCATTCTCATTTAAAGAGCACTCAGAGATGGAGGCCTTAATGCAGAGTTCAGAAGGAAATCTGAATCTTTCCTCATGAAGAGTTTGCTCCAGACACTGCAGAATCTTGTCATTTTTGCAGACCTCATTCCACTGAGCTTGAAGAGACATCTCAGGTTTCACACTAGCAGTGACCACTATTGATTCCATTCCAGATGCCAGTACATTAAACTTAAGTAGTTGAGCTTGCCTCTGCTTGATCCTCTCATCATCAGCACCCTGTGGCATGTTCTGCTCTCTTCATGATAGGGCATCCAGTCCAGCATTCAACTTCTCTGGCTGGTAATCAATTCTGAAGTTGAATTGATAGAGAATATCTATCCAACATAGCTGTCTTTCATATATCCTTGCCTGCTTCAATGATGAATTCAAGATATTTTGTGCTGTTCACCTCAAACTCACTCTTTCTGATGTCTGCCTGCAGGCCTGCTTTCTGTAGACACATAAGCATCTTTTGTACATGCTCACAATGCTCCTGTAAGCTTCTTAAGGAAAATATCAAGATGTCATCTAAATAGACTGAGCAGAAGTCGTCCAGATATCCACATAATGCCCAGTTGATATATTTTTGAAATGTGCTTGGAGCATTGGCCAAATCAAAGAGTGTAATCAGCCACTCAAATAGCCTGTATCTGGTTCTAAAGGCTGTCATCCACTCATCACCTTCTGTGATTCAAATCTTGTGAAAAGCTGCAATAATGTCCAGCTTAGTAAATCATTTAGCCAGTCCAATTTGCTGTAGAGTCTTGCTGATTAATGATAGAGAATATCAATTCTTTCAGATGATTTTGTTAAGAGCTCAATAGTTCACACAGAATCTTAGCCCACCCCCAGGCTTCTTCACAAATAGTACAGAG